ACGAATAGCGGGATTGACCTCACATTTTAACGCCCCACGGCTGAAAGGTCGAGCCTATTTGGTGTACGGGGATTCGAACCTGCGACTCTCAGATTGCGAGTCGAGCGCCCTAACCACCTGGCCATGCCGGGCCATTCCAAAACATAAAATCCTTCGGGTAAAGATGTATTTAAACATGTTAAAATAGATGAAAAATCGTATAAAAACACATTACAGTTTAAACAGACTTTGGTGTACATTCTTATAAATAGTATGATGTATTACCTAAATTGTTTTGGACTCTTAAACTACATAAAACACCATAAAATACAGGTTTATTCCCTGCGATAAAAAGAGCTATGACTAAGTGTTTGTCATTTTTAATAAGTTATGTTCTGAAATACATTTGAAACACATTTCTGTAAACTATTTATGCACTAAGTTGCTTGTGGATCTATAACTATGTTGATTAAAAGTTTTATAATAGCATATGAGTCACACAAAGGACTTAAATAAAAAAAAAATATTGCAATTAGTTCCACTAATTGTTGTTAAGACTTATGTTTCTTATTAAGCACAAAGCTACACAATCGATATCAAAACTCGCTTTTTGCGTTACAAACGTTACCTGTGCTATGCTCACTATAGGTATCGAAACTCGTTTTTTGTTGGGTTTTTTTGCGTTATAAGCCAATTGTCAGTTAAAGGATTTTACTTATACTTCTTAATAGTATAAATGCATACTGTATTGTTGTTATTGGGCTTAGGATTCTTCTACAGTAGGTGTCTGTGACTTATTGGCGATAAATTCAACGATAAATGAACAATCAGCACACACTCCACTTATTTTCAAAATAATGTATATAGATATTCGAACTCGTTATATGCATATACAACAGATTCTTTACACTATAGAGATTATAGGCATATCATAAACACTATATGGTTCTCTTCTTGTTGTCAAAAGTCAACTTAGGCCTATTCATTTACTTTAGAATATCAGTTGACAAGCTGAAATACCTTTCCCCATTTCCATCGCACTAGTATTCTGTTTATAATTCACTTACAATTGTGGCGCGAGTTACCAGGTGTTCTTTCCAGGGTAACTAACAAGGTAGCTAGAACAAAAGTAATTTAACGACTTTCTTGATCACTGTTATGTGAAAAGTGCACATACCAAGAATAACTGACTACTTTCGAAAATTCTATATTAAAACAAGAAGGTATAAAACACACACAGTATGTTTATATACCACACATGATTATGTCTCTGATTAATTACAGGTGTACTGTTTACTTTACGATCCTGATTCATAACTTACCACTTATTCATTTCTGGTTTTCAACCCCATGAATTCAGGATTCTCTTTTTAATGGCTGCTTCAGCTGATACATTTTCCATATTTACTAGGATTTGTGTGTGTTGAATCATTCATTCTGAAAAGATAACACCATTTCCCACAATGCATAGTGCACGTGATGTAATGTGTAGATTTGCTCTTAAGAAGACAGCTCAGAAAACCCTTTGGAATCTTGTGAGGCCAGTACCATCTAAAGTCCAGTTTATTATAGTTGATATTAGATGGAGTTCTAATAAAATGGCCAGACAATGTAACAGTATAGTTTTAAAGGCTCTAATACTAAAGAATAGATGAATCAGAATTTATATAATTCCATCTTTAATGGTAAACTGTATAGATGTAGTGGGGCAAAGAGTCAGAATGACCAATAGTGGTTTCAATCATGAAGTTTAATAAAACACTATAGACAGAAATGATGTTTTAAGAAAAGACTGCAAGTAAACCCAATTTGCATCAAGCTCTACCCGTACGAATAGATCTCCAGATACTGATATCTAGCGGAAGCTTTTAACATTTTTCTGTCCACAAAAGCAGATATATGGGGTTTAAATAGCCAGTCTCCACTTTATACACCAAGTATACATCAAATAGTGTAAAGTGGCACACCATTGTTTTAACTCATAGTAAACTACCAGTTTTAATACTTAATATACTTTTTGTTAGAAATATGTTCAATTAAGATTAAAAGAGCTTACTAGTCAGTAATGGTGCAAAAAATTTATGTCAAAAAACAGGCACAGATTGAAGATTTCATGTTTTTCAAAAGATATTGCACATTCTATATAAAAGGTTGTTTGTTTTGTTGGTAAGCACAAAGCTACACAATGGGCTGTCTATTCTCTACCTTTCACAAGTATCAAAACCCAAATTTTAGTAATATAAGCCTTCAGACTTATAGTTAAGCCACCAGCAGACTTTATATAAAATAAATGTTAATTTCAGTAAAGAAATTGTAATTCATTGGCCTTGAGTGGACATGCTAATACATTACAGATTGCAATTGTTCAGGTTTAATTTGTTATATAAAAACTGACATTTTTGAGTATTTATTGCAAATATAAAAAAATAAAATTCTACACATACACACACAGGTTAATCTGGTAGATATTGATGGCCTTCAGTGGGCAGACAAGAAACGAGATGGAGTAATTGCTATCAGGGTTGGTCAGGAAGGTCAGTTGTTGCTCTGGACACCACAAGGCTTAGATGATTGGATGTTTTCTCTGCGAAATGCCATGAGTCGTAGCAAGGGTCGAAGAGAAGTTCTTCGTAAGTCACAGACTCTAGTTCCTCAGCTTTCTGATGCAGGTTTAAGAAGACGGTAAGATTTGTTTGTGTCTTTTAACAAGAATGAAATTGCTATACTTTAATATGAACATGAATGTAAGATTTGATTTAAATCACAATAAATATATTTTCTTGCCACTTCTGTATCAGTATCATCAAGAAATTTTGGCCCATCAACCATTCTTAATTCTCTCATTTGCTTTTGCAGTACATAATTAACAGGTTCATGTTGAAATATGGTAATAGATTAGTGGTTCCCAGACCCCCCGGGGGTCCACAGAGGTAATACCATGTCATTAAACATGTAAGTTTTTTAATACTGTTGTTTTTAATTGCACACTCAGTTACGTATCTTTTTTATTTGATAGTGAAAAATGGGAAAACAAGTTAATTATTAGTTAATAAAAACATTTTGTTGGGTAGATGGAATCTTTCAAAAACATGGGGTCTGTTGGGGGAAAAATAATAATAAAAGGGGTCCTTGGTGGTGAAAAGGTTAGGAATCACTGTAATAGACTGGAAATGTACCGGAAATATACTGATTTGAGACCTATTGTTCAACCTCTTCAGGCACCTGTTCACCTTGCAACACACACTGTCTGATAGCTACGTAGAAACCTCTTTGATGCACCGCCGGAACACTAGCATGGACCTTCATCGTTTAAGTGACCTGCGACCAGTAGCAGAGCGACAACCAACACCACAGATGGGAAGACACCAGGATGGAAGCTCTTGTAAGTTGCTTGTGCCTTTTTTTTTTTTTACTATAAATGTCCTGATTCAATCCAAACTCCTTAGTACAACTGATTCTTTTAGATGTTATTTCTGGTAGTTAGCTTACAAATAGGTTGCACATTTATTGGACAAGAGCTGTATTTCATACATACTGTTGTGATACTTACTTAAAATCTGTTCTCCAAAAGAAAAAATATGATTGTAGTAGCCAGAATACTACAACTTTTCTCTGATACGATTGTTCAAATGTTGTACGATAGAAGCTACAGTGGCATAGGAAGCAGGTGGGGTGAGGTGGAGGAGCACATTTCAATCTGCTCCAGTAAAAATGCATCAAAGCTAAGAAAATTACTCCCAGGAAAAGCAGGAGAATCGATAAAATTTAATCTAAAGCTCAAGAGCTTCTAGGGTTATAAGACAAGTTTTGGACCCTGGCACATATTCCCTTGCTTTGCTCGGCCGATTAACCTCAGTTGGCCTCCTATACCTATAAGCCATTAATCCTATTAGTGGTTTATTTGTTAAATACATGTTCCATTGGTGTAGTCCAATTGATTTTTTTTAAGTATATCTACATATTCTGCCAGTGTTAAAATTTTCTTTTTTACGTTTTATTGCTATCATCCAATTTATCTGCTGTACTGTACATTCTATATTTTGAACCAACATTCTATAGTTTCATTAAACACTTTTTCTATATTACAAATTTCATCATACCAAAACATTTCGCTGTTTCATTTGGCAATGAAAGTGTAAACTAATGTTTATATATTGTATTCTACTCTCTTAGTTACAGCTGATGTTCATATATTGTATTTTGCTGTAGATTTAAGTGGTTATTTCACAGTTCCAGCTACTGTTCATATACCATATTTTATTCTTACATTACTGATGTTCATGTATTCTATTTTATTATTATCAGTTCCAACTAACAGAGGTAAATATTCATCTAAACAACATTTTTTTTCCAAACCTCAGCCATGAATCCTAAAATTCTTTCATAATTTTTCACTGTATTTGACTGGTTGACAAGAATGCTACCCTAGCTAGACTTCAGCAACAAAACCCAATAGTTAATATACAATTGCTTTGTTTCTATAATTCTATTTCTTTTTTTTTCTTTCCCCTTTATGTCTTTTTCATAATCTTCATTTCTTTTTCAGTTTTTCATGTTTTCATGATCCAAAATTATATCTGTACCTTTTGGACATTTATTCAGAAGAATATTTTTTCTAACCAACTCATGCATTTTTTTATGCTTTCATCATAGTTGCTATTAACGTTCATTTGTTCAACTCTCATATTACCATTGATGTTGGTTTATTGTATTTTGTTCTATAATTACCTGCAATGTTCATCTGTTATATTTCACACCATAGCTATGAATGATATCATTTTGGTTTGGTGTATTTTACTTATTACTTTTCCCTTTGATTTTTAACCTGTCTTATTTTCCAAAAATATTAATTTAATATTTTATTTTCATAGATCAAATCAATGTTGATTGTAATCATAATTTATTACATTCTTTCATACCCTACATTTCCTAGCTACCAATGACAGTGATTCCTTTGACGAGAGCAGTTTTTCCATTCCATTTGAACCAGATTTCCAGTCTCCATCTCGTTTAATCCATGCTCCACGACTTGCTCCTCAATGTACTGGTGGTTCTCACTCGTCCCTCATTTCACTAGGAAGAGGATCTTTGCGTAGTCACCTAGAGAAACCCTCTCCACGTTCTTTGCAGGTGTCACCAGCTCTCTCCCAAAGATCTCTTTATGCACAACATATACTCTCCAATCCAGAGGTCACTCCTACCTCAGACTCTCGGGTTGTGAAAACTGGGGTATCATCAGCTACATCTGAGTTTTCTTTTATTCATCCAGATTCTCCTGTTAATAGTCTAGTTAATAAAGGGAGCTGTAATCAGTCACAGCAAGAGAGAAATGTAGTACTGAGTAGACAGAAAGATAACATTCACTCAGTCTCCTGTTCTTCAAGTGAAACATCTCAGATGGAGAACCCTCAACTAAAAGGACCCCCTGGAGATGAATCACGCCCCTGTAGCATCCATGGCCAACCTTTACTAACCATCGGAAAATCTGCATTTTCCACTCAACCTCCTGACATAATACCCTTAATCGTCAATGGACAACCAATCTTCAAGCAGCCGTACAAACGCAGGATAAAGGCTTACAATCATGCCAAGTCTGACTCCCAGTTTTTTCATAGTAAACTTACAATGAATAACACCAGCCCACTGAAGGGCTCTGTAGAGATAAGCTGACATCTGTTATGCAGAGAAATTGAAAGTTTTTCTCCGTAAAACATTGTTGTAGCTCATATCATATCTTAGGACTATCATCGGGTTTATTAATTAGTTTTGTAGTCAAATTTATGTAGCCGTAAAATGTTTTTTTGTATAAAAACATGTATTGATTAAGTTAATTAACTTTTATTTCTTGTACATATGTTTTAGTCAAAAGCTTTGCTCCTAGGTATACTAGCTAATAACTATTATCGAAATGTTGTTGTTGTTAGTTGTTAAATCTTTTAAACTAGTTATTATATATGTTTAGATACACAAATTTATGCTTAGGATAGCAGCCCTGTAGATAGGGAAACCTTCTTAATTATCACTTTGTCATAAATTTAATACCTTAGTTCCACTAAAATTAATCAGTGTCTTGTAAAATTATAGTGTTAGGTTCTTAATGTTACTTTAGACTTTGTGATTGCCTTAGCAGAATAGTTTTGCACATTTTCATTCGTTCCTTCATGGTTTTGCATCTGTCGTGAAGTGTTTTGATACTCCAAGCACCTTGTAGCTTATTAGCTCCTAATTCTGTCATGTACTCTTTATAAATCTTGTAGCCTAATGATTTTCACATCTGTAATGGCTACTCCAAGGAGCTTGTACTTCATCAGCACCTGTATCTTTCTCTTTTCTGTGGTCTTGTGTCTCAACTAGTATCTTTCGATACACCAAGAACCTTCTAGCCCTATTTTTTTTAATGGATCCTTAAGTTTAAAAATGAAATCATTAACAGGTTTGCACACTTTCCAGTTTGTTTATAGTTTCAGAACCTTCACTATATGCAATGAGGTGCTAGTTACAGAAGCTGGAAAGAAGTTATGGAATGTGTATCTTATCAATAAGTTGTATTTGCATAAAATATTTGGAAGAACTCACAGGATGCAAAGACTGGTGTTTACACAGAGGTGGTCTTAATACCTAAGAAAAGTAGAGATTTCTGGTGGTATTAGGACAGGAGTGATCAGAATAATTGATAAGATGTAGAGATTTACTTGACTTACCACTAATACTAGGCTCATGCATATAATCCATGAAAAAAAAACTTACTAGAACAATAGACTTATGTTAGTTGGTGTTGGCAACAAAAAATGAGAGGTTAGAATAGTTTTTGGAATGTAGAAATTGTGACTTCTTGTTACTGTCCTGAGAGGTGGTTTTGTTAATTGTGTTGTTCCACAAATGCTATGAATTCTTATATTTAATGACAGTACAGATTGGTCAATTACTTTAGTGATATTGACACAATAAATAATCTTTTGGTACATAAAGTGTTTACTTTCAAATATGCAAAACTAAACTCATAAAAGTACTTTTACATAAGTAAGGTACAAAATACGGTATGGAGTGTTAATTAATTCATTTTTTTCACTCTCAATATTTAACCAGAAAAATTGTAAAAAAGAACAAATATTCTGAACCATTATATTACTTGATACACTGTAATGGGACATAATGATTTTCCTGTCTTCACAATATCACTTAACAGTATTATTTTATAGATGACTTAGGCAGAGTATTCAGGATGAACAAACAAAAGTGATATAGGTAGCAACTGCCTAGTTCAGAGTGACACTTGTGGAGAAAACACTGGAGGGCTAATGTACAAAATTAGTTCAAGTATAAGAGAATGAAATTTTGAAAGACTTCAGGCTCATGATGAAGTCTTCCAAAATGGTCTCATTTCTACCAGAGCTACTTTTATAGATTAATCCTCAAAGACTTTTTCTAGAAGTATCATACTGATCTAGGTAGTTGCTGCCTATATCACTTTTGTTTGTTCGTGACATATATATATATATGTCTAAGTATATTTTCTCTGTCTCTTTTAGAGAACTCATTCTATTCCACTGTGGGCCAATAACAATATGTGCAAATATGTTTTAAATTCTAGAACTCATTAATATATATATATATTTTAAAGATAAGCTTCTGAGTTAAGTATAGGAAAGTAAGTGGTAAAATTATTTTTTTTACACACTGAATTCGACATGACTGACTACTTTTTATTATTATTACTCGGTAAAAAAAGAATTAAATTGTTCATGAGGTAGAATTCTAGCTTCATCACTGATATCATCAACTCAGGTCTATATCTCAGGGTATTGGTATTTTCAGCCCGAAAAAGCACCTTAGGTGACAAATGACCTAAACAAATATGTCAGAGACCCTAATATTCAGACAGGGCTATTCCTAATTTAGGACTACTGGCCAAAGGGACAGCAAGCAGTCAGCAGTACCTTAATTTGACACTCACAGTTATATCTCAGGGTAGATGAAATAAAGTTTATGTAACTTAAAAGATATATCAAAATATGTTGATGGGTTTGACAAAACAGTTAACGTATTTTAACATAGATTTTTGACATTGTAATTAGTTATAAGGTATTTAATTAGATGAATAAATAATGAAATACGTTTATCAAGACGTATTTTTAAACTTCCCCAGATAGAATATTTATAGCAATGTTCATGTTTTTTTTTATTTGTGTTAAGTTCATCTAGTTTTCACTAGTAATTTTGAACAATTCTATTGTTAAGGTACAATTAGTTATAATATAACGAAATAATGTTATTGCTTATGCATTAGACATTCAAAGTCATAAAAGTAATTACACCCAAGTAACATCACAATTCGTTTCTGAAAAGTGTGTAGTTTCTGTATGGTGTTTGTACTTCCCCTCTACTAAAGCATATTAATGTTAACAAATAATTAATTTTGATTTTCTTATTTTTCTAAGTGAAAAAAAAAGAATTACATTCATTATGGTTTATAGTTTAAAAAAAAAAAACACGGAAAAGTTTAATTGATTTCATTGCTGATAGATGGCATTAACATACTAGAGTGCTGATGTGATATGCTTTTTAAAAAATTTTATACACGTCGTTGATGGTTTTTTGTTTGTTTGTTTTTCTATCAGTGGATCTAGTCATAACAGTTAGTGATGCTCTTGTAAGCTTTATTAGCTTTTATTGTATGTTGTTCTGGCAGTTTGTTCTGTCTATGATATATCAGAGTAATTTCTCTGTTTTTTTTTATGGAAACTCGTCTACAATACTTCTTTGGATATTATTTGGATTTGAGTATTTTAATGAGTGTCTTACATTAAAACAAAGTAACGCACATAATATCAAGGGTATTTATTTAGTCATTGCGAATACAAATGGGGGAGAGATATCGGTATAAAGGGTTAATATAGATAGTAAGGTTCACTATACGTTGATTTATATAAAGATTCAATTTGTAAATGGAGGGGGGCGTTTTTAAACGAATGACAATAATTTCTTCTAATATATTCTTTACATACAACTTCAAATAGAAGGTATGGATATACTGACTCAATGATGAGCGGGAATAAAAAAATCTCGTTTAAAAAAAGAATGTGAAAGGAGAAGTTAATTTTATTTAAATAAATAATAGCATTTAACTGTAAATACAGTTAGAAATTAATAAGTTGGTAAGTATCATGTTATTTGGTAAACATATGTTCGTATATCCATTTCAAATATCTGGGCAAACATAGGAAACATTCATTCTTTTAGAAGGAAAACATCGAAAGGGAAGAGAAGAGAAGAGAACCGATTGAACGTCTAGGAGATGGGATATGGATGCTTTCCTGCTTTGCCTATATACTTGAAATATCCCTGCATTCCCATTACTGTCTTACATGGGTTGTTCGATGTGTTGTATGTATGTGTTATCGGTGTTGTTCAGCAGATAGGCATCATGTCAGTGACAAATATGGAGTTTGCTATTTTTGGTTGGATGTAAATGTCATAGTAGGAATCAAATTCTGCTTGTCGTTATTAATTTATGTGTATTATCCTGATGTGTAATAAACATTCAAAAAGTCAATGAACTCGTTTTTTTCCCCACTCTAGCTTCTAGAGGACTGCATAAATCACTTGAATTCGAAATCTGGAATGTTGTAATAATAAAATGAAAAAATCCAATGATATCAGAAAAAAATATATACTATAGCTTTCTTATTTCCCCTGATTAAAAACAAAACAAAAACTTTGGTATTAAGCAAAACGCTTCGTCAACAATGGATATGGGGGTAATTGATATTAGTGAATTGTTGTAACGTTGTACTTTCGTTGGCTGATTATTTTATATTATTTGGTGAAAATAGCTCAACGTCCAGTCCGTGTAACAATAACATATTAGCTTTGTTTCCTCCTTGACGTTTCTTTACAGGCTTGTGCACTTTGTAAGCCTATATTTACAGCTGAGCTATCTAAACTAAACTAACGTAAAAATCCAACTTAATTGTACGACACCACACGGCTGATCGATCAAGTGATTGGAAACGATGAAACTAACAAAAAACACTCTCAGACTGATTAACTATCTATGCTTCAATGATTCACTCTGCAAGCTTAATTGGTTTATTAACTGGATCACCCGTATTTATAATCGAATCCTTATCTATACATTTCGTAAATGCCCTCATTTATTACCATTCTCCCGAATATTCGAGAACTACGAACCTGGTCTTAACGTCATGCGCCCTCTAGGTATCATCTAAATTACAATATTAAACGTATAGCTTATAACATTACACTGTTCTCGATAAAACTCTAAAGTACAGAATAAAGAATTTAGCGTTGAGAAGTACATTAAGCCTAAAACTGTTGCATTAATTACAAATATAAAGGATTATAGTTAAGCTTGGACGGCAAAAGGCGTTGACACCATATAAACTCCAGTTGACACAAGTAAGTATCGAAATGAACCATAGAAGAGATAGAAATGAAACTATTTTTTTTAATACGGTAGGGATACAAAGCAATGAATAAAACGGGCACTAAGATCTATACAGAAAAATATATAACCAATTGATTTTACAGATAAATAAAAATCATAAAAAATAATTCGCCAAGTACTGTTTGTTGACTTTCGCGCAAAGTTACTCGAGGACTATCTACAATGGTCATCCCTAATTTAGAAATGCAGTTAATCAATACCACCCACCGCTTAATTCTTGGATTGCTTTTTACCAACGAATAGTGACCGTCAAGTCATTGCACCCCCACGGATGAAAGGGCGAGCATGTTTAATGGCAGGATTTGAAATTGCAGATTGTGAGTCAAATACCCTAACCACCAGGCCTCCATAAATACGATCGAATTCAAGCATAAATTGAAACTTATACATTTATTGCTGTAATATCAATTAAAGTGGTAAAAGGCTTTGGTTTAGGCATACAAAGTATGTAGTTTTAATAAACGCAAAATTATGTTGTAAATTTTTTCAAATTACATTTATACAATTTCACACTTACACGTATTTACGAAAGTAAGGTAATATTTAAAGTATCGTTTATGCTAGTAATCGATAAATTTAAACCTGCCAAACGTTTCGACACAGTCCAATATCTTTTCCTCATTGGCTACTGTGTGTTGTGAATCATCATAGTTACGGTAAAAACACGATAAGTTGTGACGACACTTATGTTCATAATATGCCATAGCTCATTAAAAAAAAATGTCATTGAAATTTATTATTGCATTTGGCTATAACTTTACCGTTTTTCCGATATGGTTTGTTTATTTGTTTTGAATTTTGCGCAAAGCTAGACGAGGGCTATCTGCGCTAGCCGTCCCTAATTTAGCAGTGTAAGACTAGAGGGAAGGCAGCTAGTCATCACAACCCACCGCCAACTCTTGGGCTACTCTTTTACCAACGAATAGTGAGATTGACCGTCACATTATAACGCCCCCACGGCTGAAAGGGCAAGCATGTTTGATGGGACGGGGATTCGAACTCGCGACCCGCAGATTGCGAGTCAAACGTCCTAACCACTGGCCATGCCGGGCCCCTTCCAATCTGGAATGTGATTTTGTGTAAGAATGTGCTTGCTAAGCCTAAAGTGCCAATCCCTCAGAATTTATTATCAACTTTGTGTTCTTTAATACATGTATTTGATGTTCCGACTGTCTCGCCATAACATATTTCACATGTTTCATATGGCCTTTTATATACACTATTAATTCTGTTTTCGGGTTGGGTGGGTTAAAATGTGACGTGCGAGGTCGATAAGCAGTTCTAACATTGATTTTCTTTTTATATTTAAATGCCTTTCAATCTTGTAATGTCCTTGATTTTGTTTCTCTCTATAAAGAACGGTTAAAAATGAATAATGAAAAATTAACGAAATCTCTTTACTGACACACCAGACAAAATCATGTTTTAAAACATAAAAAAAGCTAAAACTATTTCGTTAAAACCCAATGATTTTATTTATTGGTGAAACTAATTAATATGGTGTCTGAATAAAATAAACACGAGTTTTTAAACGGGATTACTACAGATTATCTTACAGTATTCGAGTAACCGTGCATGTGCGGAGACCTACGATATCGCCTCCCCAGTGGCTCAGTGGAAAACCTGCAAGTTTGTTTGGATCAATTATCGGAATTTAGGACTTTTGCGACCTTTGGAGGGTCAGGTTTTAATAGACCTCTTCCTGCCCCTTCTACTGTTGTTATCTTATCTTCTTGGCTTTAGGTTTTATTGTTTGGCTGGTTTGATTGTTTGAGATTCTATTACAACCTTCCTTTTCAAGGCTATGTCCATTTTATGTTGTCAGGTTATATATGTGTGTGAACTTATGTTTGCTGGGTATTTGTGTTCTGTAATGTTTGTGGTAATAAGAATAGTTGTGCAATGTGTGGTAGTGTTATGTTGTGAGGTTATATATGTGTGTGAACTTATGTTTGCTGGGTATTTGTGTTCTGTAATGTTTGTAGTAATAAGAATAGTTGTGCAATGTGTGGTAGTGTTATGTTGTGAGGTTATATATGTGTGTGAACTTATGTTTGCTGGGTATTTGTGTTCTGTAATTTTTGGGGTAATAAGAATAGTTGTGCACTGTGTAGTAGTGTTATGTTGTCAGGTTATATATGTGTGTGAACTTATGTTTGCTGGGTATTTGTGTTCTGTAATTTTTGTGGTAATAAGAATAGTTGTGCAATGTGTGGTAGTGTTATGTTGTGAGGTTATATATATGTGTGTGAACTTATGTTTGCTGGGTATTTGTGTTCTGTAATTTTTGGGGTAATAAGAATAGTTGTGCAATGTATGGTAGTGTTATGTTGTCAGGTTATATATGTGTGTGAACTTATGTTTGCTGGGTATTTGTAATCTGTAATGTTTGGGGTAATAAGAATAGTTCTGCAATGTGTGGTAGTGTTATGTTGTGAGGTTATATATGTGTGTGAACTTATGTTTGTTGGGTATTTGTAATCTGTAATGTTTGTAGTAATAAGAATAGTTGTGCAATGTGTGGTAGTATCGGCAATAATTGTTCTAGAGCTGTACTAATGATTAATGTGATACAGTCCTCTTGGTTTTGGGGGTTATATGTTAGTGACAGCCATTGTTATTTCGTTTACTATTTCCTTTTGTTGTGTTTTGTGTTATTCCTTTGTTTTGAAATCTCTTTGTTTGGGTGTGGGTTTTTACTGCCTGTGCGAATGTTTCTCTTGTAGATAGTTGGTTTATATCGGTACTCTCTCATGGGTTTTCGTGTTGGTAGCAATGGTGTTTTTCTTTGTATACTGTTTGCTTCATGATTTTGTGCTTGTGTTATTTTGAATGTTGATTATTCGTGTTTTTACGTTCTTTTATTTTGGGCGTCCTTTATAGTTTGCCGTGTGTTGCTGGTTTTGATATCCGCGGTGAGAAAAACACGGATATCTCATTGTGTAGCTTTACGCTTAAAAACAACTTATCAAACAAAGACTAATCCACCACTCTACGTCCACCATGTTTTTGTCCATTCCCTATACCTATAGCATTGTCTTATTCCTTCTGAAACACACACACACAAAACCTAAACATTCTAAACAAAATACATTTAACTCTTTACACTAGTAAAAGGCTAGACATAAGCGTCGAAACAGAAAATTGTACAGTTGTACGCCCCCACAGATTTCAAAATAGGGGCAAAAATGTCTTTCCGCCCCCGCAGTTTCAGGGGCAAATCACAGAAACTATCCATTAACATATATAATTACATGCATGGAAAAAGCATGATAAAAGGATTTTATAGAATAACCTAAAAAATACCCCTTAACGATATTTCTACGAAGAGCACCTCATCCTCCGCAGCTTGAGGTTTTCTCCGACATCTCTGGGGCTAGGGCGTGTAAGTAATAAATAAATAAAAGTACTTATTTTTCAACGTCTGACGTTTTTTTTAAAACCAGATTTACCTGATATATTTCATTTAATTTTACGTGGAACGAGCGCGGCCCATTGATTAATATGCTGTATTGTAGAAAACTGAGGTCCAGTGTTTTACGTCCTGTTACTGCACCCCTCCCCCCCCCAAAAAAAAATATCTAGCCCTGCACCTTGGAGCTGTGGGTGCGTTATAGGAGAGATGGTCAAATCCTACTTTTAAACTGACAAAAACAGCCCAAGATTTGGAGGTGAACTTTATTGATTGGCTGATTTCCTTCTTGTCTATCGCTTCAAAATGAAGGATGGATGGCTAGTACAGATAGCCCTTTTATATCGCATGTTATATAGAAGGCAACCAGTTAACATGACCCACCGTCAACTCTTGGGCTATTGTTTTTTCAGACCGAATAGTAGGGTTTGACCATCACCTTTATAACGTACACACAGCCTCAAAGTGATGAGCGCGATTTTGTGGGCACAACAACATATCGTGAACCCTAGAACCTTAGTTCCACATTCCGGCACGCTCGCCCTATGTTGGTAACAGTGATAATACAGTCAATCACAGGTTATGCGGTCGTTTTTAAATTACTTACGAAAATGTTGTGGACGCATAATCGGGTTAATTTGGGGCCCTGTAAACAGAAATGTGAGTTGAGGCA